CATTGTTCGGCGAAGAAGCTCATTATTGTTTTAGCAGTAATGTCCTTTCCAGATAATACTTCTGACACTTATGTGAAACGGCCTGCATACGTTAATGGGTAGGAGTGTCCTTCTGAATCTGATAAGCGTCGTACCAAAAGAAGATCAACATGGTCGGAGCGAGCGTCGAGAACTTCGAAAGAGAGTAAGCGGCATCCAGTATGTATCATCAACTCAGATTTCTGATAGCTTACACAGGAGCATGAACATTTCCTCACGTTTCCATTCTTACCAGGCCAACAAAATCGTTTGCTATCAGAGTGACGGTTTTTCGAACAACTGTTACAAGACAATTCGTGCAACCCATTGAAGCTGTTTCATCGATATTGTTCCTGCACAATTGGATGATGCTTATTTGTCGATGTACCATGAAGTAACGTTTCACTACAAGTTTCAATCTACTTGACCCATCGTTTCAGAGTTGTTGCAGGTAACGCGTGCTGATGACCGACGTCTTCCTTTTGATAGTGTGTGAGTTAAGGGAGTCAGTCTTTCAGAGAAAATGCTGCAAAGCAGAACACATGGCTGAGAATTCTGTCTCGAAAGTGCTATACCTCAATATCTTTCTCAGTATCATAGAACCGTCCTGGATAAACGTCGAAGGCTTTCAGGCTTTAACCATTGTTATATGTCTCATTCGACTGCCGGCTTGGATAGGTACATGATCGTTGCTTACTGAGATAAAACTACGGTCAAATTAATAAGTGCTTCGGTGTTTTAGCGGGGGAGCACTGTTGCTTTCGCATTAATTTTCTTAATTGTGAAGAAGACCTTTATCGCGCTGTCTTTCAAATTGATGGGTTTCGCGTTTCCACGAATAACTAGAGCATCAATAGTGTGTTCGATGGAATCTGGGGAATCAGTTCCGATTTCACATTTCTGAATATCTACAGTGATGTAGTGCCTTTGAAGTTGTATGAAAACAAGGTCAACATGTTGAAGATGAGATTCTCAGACCAAACTTTTGATCAGACAGTTATCTTTATGTACATAAGTGGGGTTGAGACCTCGAAAGACGTTAGCGATCAGTCTCTGGAATGCTTTTGCAACATTTCCTATAACAAAAAGCATGCGCAAACAATCGTATAGTCCAAGTAGTGTAATGATGGTGGTTTAAGGAATATCGTGTAAATCCATGGGAAGTCTGTCGTACTCTCTAACCAGGCGGATTTTTAAGAAAACAGTTGTACCGTTTAAGGTGTCTGTCAGGTCGTTGATTTGTGGCAAGATGTTCATATACCAAATGGATTTTCGAGAGACTATGTACAGTAAAGATGTCTATAATCTGTCGACTGGCCGTAAAATTCACAAGTTTATCATGCGCTCAAATTCATTTTTGTCAACCTCGGCATTTCTGTAGCCGGTTGACGCGCTTTCGAAAATACAGGTGGTCCTGCAGTAATGATGTGGTGTGCGAAATTGTGGGCTGCACACGGTAACTGTGCTCAAGTTTTGTATGTTTCAGTGATTTATGGAGTAGCTGTTGATAGGATGGGTCAGAAATGTGCGTAACAGTGACTGCGGGTTTTCTGCAACGTCAATGCCGGTCAGCAAGAATATTCTGGAAAGGGTTTTCGTGATAGACGGTTGAAAGAATGAGAAAATAATGGGCTTTCTATAATTTCCGGAAGACGAACAGTTACCTCCTCGGTCTGTCTATCCACCAACATGCATAAGATAGCTTATCTCAATCTAGATTGAGAACTATACAAGATGGCTGACTGGTTTAACCTTGTGGCTAGTATGAGTGAGTTCGAAGTGAGACTAGCTGTTTGGGATGAAGAGAAGAAAACAAATTTATCACCTGATTGTCTCACAAGTGGGCACGATAGAAGACGATTTAACTGGAACACTACTCAATTTATTCCCGATCCCGAATCACACTACGATGTTGTTCCAATTCAGCTTAGCGCAAAAAGATATATGAATGAATATATGAATAACAAGACACCAACACACAAACAATTAGGAAACAATTAGTAAACTAGGGACAAAAGTAAATATCAATGTTTTCAAAGTTTTGAATTAAATGAAATAACTATGATAATTAGGAGGATGATAAATAAACTTCAACAGCTTCAAGAACACTAACTACTTTATTCATAACTTCCTGAAATATGGCTGGAGAACAACTTAGACCAAATGGAAGGAAATTTTTTGAACAGCCCAAACGGAGTGTTAATTGTCGTCAAAATAAATGTAGATTGATCTAAAGGAATTTGAAGATAAGCATCTTTTAGGTTACCTTTCGAGAACACTTTAGATCCATGAAGTCCATTTAGAATATCTTCGGCCTCTACCGTCGCGCACGTTTGTTTCAACAAACGGGAGTTCAGAGTTAATTTATAGTCACCACATATTATAGGGGTCTTGCCGTCCGACTTCAGTGGCGTAACAAAAGAAGTACCCTATTCTGAAGACTGAATCGGTTCAATTATGCCTTTCGCACAAAAATCGTTTAATTTCTTATGTACTGCTTCTCGAAGTCCATAAAGAACTATTCGTCTTTTATGAAAGACTGGATCACCCTGTACTTGAAGTTTTATAGGCTGAATTTTCATACCCCCACTGCACTTGGCACTCATAGCTATCAAATCTTCAAGTAAAGCATCAGACGTTTTTTCGGAAACTAGGAAAGACAACTTCACCTTAAGCCTTTTCAAATTCTTTAAACCCAGTATTGACAATCCTGTTTCGCTAACTGAAAGTTCAGAAGGTATGTATGAGGAATTATCATCTCTTATTAATGATTCACAACATCCTCGTATGGGCAGTCTGTGTCCAGTAATCCCCAATATTGATACTTCAGTGGGTCGTACCACAACGTTAGGATCTAAAGATTTCAAGTTCTTGAATGAAATAATGGACTCTATACTGCCTGTGTTCACAATAAAGTCATGAAATAAACCAAGCGATTTATATAGACGCTTTTGAATATGAGCATTACCTTTCGAAATAGTAGACAAAGATAAATGATCACTAGAAACATCCGAATTATTGAGATTTAAATTACAAGATTTAGTACTACTCGAAGCAAAATAGACAGTAGCTTTGTATACTAACCGAATATGTCCTATCTTGCCACATTTAAAGCAATTAGCATTACGAAATGCACATGAATTACGTGGACGAAACTTTCCACATGAAAAACATTTACCAAACTTGATCTCACCTTTGTGATTTGCTTCGTAATTCCTTGTTGAAACACCTATAATATTCACACGAGAATAGGAATCACTGTTAAACGAACACAAGCCTGATTGACCCTGAGATTGTAGTTCGTCATGACGACTAAGCAAAGTATTAGAAATCTTCATCGACTGGATATCAAGTTCGTCCAGTTGCACATGGAGTTGATCACCAAAATTACATTTGACAGCTTGTTTCAAGGATGAATTCCCTAACCTTTTGACCATTTTGACGAACCATTTAATGAAATTTCGCCCTTTCACGGCATTCGAAACTAGTGCACCTTACGTAATTTAATAATGCTTCCTTAAGAGTTGCATAAGGAAGTGAGATAGGTTTTTCTAGATATGACAAAGTTTTTAATAAGCTGTACGCTTCTCTTCCGATGAATTTCAGGAAGTGTGTCTATGATGATTAAGAGTATCTGAATTATAGTGTGAACTAAGAATCCCAGAAATAATGAAATCGGATCAAGAACTACTAGATGAGCACAGACGAGTGTACTGTGTTTGAAATTCAAAATCAAGCATTCAACAAGTACAAAGGAATCATTAGTTCATTCAAACATCACAAAAACGTTTACGAAAATGGCCTTCGTCTTTGTCAAGGCTTCTTGTTTCTCTGTTCACATCACTTACCATTCTTATTTTGGTACCAGTAACAGACAGAATTATCTGTTTCATGTGGTCTTGAGACAGACCTTTATCCTGACAAGCTTCTTTGAGGCGTTTGAGAGAGTCTACGCTTATCATGGACATAAAGATAACGAGCGAGAACACGACAGATGTCCGTATCTTCATGTTGTGGTGTTTGAGGCTTTTACTGACAGAATAAACCTCAGAGTTGGGGTTCTGATGATCTCTAGCATTCAATCGGCAGATACAGCCAGTTTGTCACAGTGTTATTTCGAAGTGAGACCAGGACTACCTGGGCGTTTTGAAGAGGCTTAAACAAGAAGAGCTGCTTGGACAGGCTCTTGCCGAAGGTCCGTTGACCAATGACCTCTCCCATATAATGCAACATTTCTGTTGCTGAGCCATGTTGCAGGTCGATGTTGTGGAAGAATCGGTCTAACGTTTGTCGGTTGGTTCAGTCTCAACGTTTAAGTTTGGCTTTCTTCACAATGCTGTAGGGTCCCAAAGCATCACTATCGCGCATACTGGTTGTGACGTACCCGTTGAGATCACGAGACAATGCCTTCATCACTGCAAGGAATTGTGCACATTCCCGTGGAAGCTAGCCTCTGCGTAGCACAATCAGGATTCTATATTGCCGGGTCAGAGTAGCATTAGTTGAAAGGTGAAATTCGAAAGAGCCTTAATCTTAGATAGCTGACGTGTCTGCTTTCTCATGAAAAAGATAAGATATACCAATGAACAAGAAAATGATGTCCGGAAATATAAAATCCATCACAATATGTGAAACTAAAAATTAGAATTATAACATATAATGTTCAGAAACGAACAGACACTCAGTTTATTGTTTGGTGTACCAGATAGCTCCAGTTTGCTTTGATGATTACCTTGAAGAAGTCCAGAAAGGCTGGCTGAACAAAATGTTGGAGTTATATGAATTTCAATCTCTGAGATTATTTCAAATATGATTTTCGCTTAACATTCGTACAAATGTTGTTCATTAGGATTTCAGAGGAAAAAAACAGTTTGTCAAACTGCATCACTTTTATTTATTATGCAACAATGAATTAAAAATTGATGACAACAAGCTGAGAAATAGTTAGTCCATGTTATTTTTCATTAATCTTGTGAATAGTTTCATTGTTTACATCTGGTGTTTGTTCCATCGTCGTATGGTCTTCCTTTACTAGCCCTAAAAGTATCACAAACAATAACAAATCATTTGGAACTAGGGCAGATGGAAAAAACTTTTAATAAATTGTAGTTGAGTCAATTATTTTGAATGCAGTTAGCTACAATAAATAATTTTGGTGATGTATAAGTTTGAGCAATTCGAAAAATCAACGTGACTACTAAAACAAGGTGGAAACGTAGAAATAAGTATGCTCAAACAAACAATAATTTACATTGTTCCTATTGCTTATTGACATCATTCGAATCGTGGTTTTGTGGTCTAGGTACTTAAAGTCTTAGTATCGATTTCGTGTGGAATCAATGAAGGACACCTCAGGTAATTAAAAAGTGATGACGAAACAGTTATCTAATGCTCCCTACTGCTCAAAGATTTTCAAGCTGATCTCAGTCAATGATAGTGACTGGTTACAAATACAACAACATCAGCAGATTATGTAGCAACACAGCATAAGGAGATAGTCTGTGATATTCGAAAACAGGTATATAATAAAATAAGAGGTGTCAAAACTTTACTCGAAAGTTATTCTCATTCCAATTCACTGTAATTTCCTCTGTAACATCTCTAACCAATGAACATAGCTTCAGCCTATGACTCAATGTGTAATCTTACTCACTGTTTTCATCAATTATTCAATGCTTGTGGATTAAATATTTGCAAAGATGAATGATTGTCATTTTAATTATGTTTTCAGATTGTCGCATTGTAATGTAAGACTGAAGTATCAAAAATATAGACAGGTATTTTGAATAAATGGACAATTTGTTATGAAATTATGAAATGAGCACGCCTAGACTCAAAGTTAATTTCCCTAACTACAATTGAAAAATAGGAAGATTTGAAGCTATATTAAAAATAACGCACTCCTTGCACGCCGTGGTGGAAATACTGCCTAACAAACAGGCCTGAATGCAAGAATTATCGAAAAGCTAGGATGTACTAAAAAGCTATTTTGTTATGGTTTGTAACAATTTATCAATGCACATTCACGACTTCATACGAAGTGGAATACACAACTGCGAATTCTTACGGCCTACATGATAAGCATTAAATTATTGAACTCGTCCTTATCTTATAACTTCAACCAATTTGTATTACATTGCGACGGTCAAGGAATGTTCATGTAAAAGCCGATAAATGGTCAAAAACAAATAGAAAAGTGTGATGACTTCCCTGACTATGGTGGTTAGAAAACAACTATACAAGTGTTAATTATGTTCCACATTAAGGTCAAGAATACGTTAAATACAGGCGAGTAGATATGTGATTAACCAACATATAGATAAACATAGACATGCATACACACTTATCTAGATCTAAAGAGCTTTCAGTGTTAAATAACATGGCAACACTTGAGAAGGAGAAATATGAGTGCACAGAATAAATTCATTTGGCCATTATAAGGACTCGATTCAGATTTTATATTCATATATAGTACATTTAAATACATTGTAAAATACAATGCTTACGCTGGAGCATAATTGCAAACAACTATATATTTTCCTTTATTTATGTTTTTATTGCACATGTGAACTCCACATCCAACATGTGTTGTGTTAATGTTTACAATCTATAATTGAAAATAACTAGTTCTTTTTATAAATATAAACTAACTTGTTTATACATAGAACAATCGTGATTCTCTCCGCATTTATCATTTTTAAAACTATAAAATCGACTTCCATCTCGCCAAACATTGATAGCACTTGAGGAAATTAGAAGAAAAAGCGCAAAATAAGTGGTAACGTATTACTGAATAAATCTTACTATGAAACTGAATGAACTTGAGCAATATTCTGACCGACTGATTTCCATCTACATGTAGTTCTGTCACTTAAACGGCTAGGTGAGTTTTCACACTGTTCTGCATACTGTTGAGCAGTTACATGTAATCCATCATCCCATGTCTACAAACAAATATTCACTGAGATAATTCTATGAATAAAAGGATGTTCACAATTTATATAAGGGATAGTTGTGGTTTGACAATTACGGAAAACTAGAATGATATCGGTATATGTTCCTCTAGATTATGGTGTTCCTGAATGAAGTGTATTCATTGCACAATAGGATGTCAAACCCAGAACTTTGGGGTCTTACGGTATGCATTTCATTCCCAGACCACAGAACTGGTATCCATTGATATGAACATGTGACTTCAATGAAATGACAATGTTTAGCAACCATAATCAAATATCTTAGGTTGGTAATCGCTTCGCGCTCAATGTGGTTTAACTCCACTGGTCATGGCTTTTAACCAGAACTCCGGAGATTACCTGCGGAAATGTCAAGGGATCGTTATAGAAACTATAGGTCTTAAGTTCGATCTCTGTAGGAGTCATGAGTTGACAACACTGAGTAATATCATACTACGACGAAACAGCTACCCAGTACTTCTTGATTTTCGATTATTTTCTAACGACATTCAATTAAACATTACCCATCAACACTCGTTAGAATGAAGAAATATTTAAATGAGGTGAACTTCAGAGTGCACGTGATCCCTTCTTAATACGTTATAATATTATAACATGGTCAGATGAGCTCACAAGATTTCCAAGTTTTGTCTCAGATGGTGTACTCCAATAATAATCACATTGATTTCTCGTTTGTCTAACGTAATTATGCTGATGTAACAAAGTCCTTGCAAATTCTGCCATTTCCTCTTGGCCTCGAAGACCGGATGAGATAGAAAGTAACAATACTAACGGAAACAGAATCATTGTGTACAACGCGTGTCTAAGATCTATTTTTAGGTGATCTTCCGTATTTATAGTGAAGGAAAACTATAAAAACGAGCAGAAACGCAAGTCAATTAACACTGCGACAGGTTTAAGTAAAAATAATGCACTAACTTATTGTGAATGACAGACACCATTCTTCACATAACTACGTTGGTTCCTTTGAGAAAATATTTAAGTTCCAAAAAGAAGAAGGCAAAATACATAACAACCGGTTTTAAAATTCACTGAAAAAAGTTATATAAGCATTTGTGAACACAATATTCGAGATTTAATACTTTGTATGAAGTTCAAATGAAAATGTCAATCAAACGAAATCAAAATACTAGATGTGGCAAACGTGCTTCGTTCTCAGTCACTTATTAACAAAAGATATTAAAATACGGTACGCAAATGCATTGATTTGCAATAAACAATAATGACATTTGAAACGAGGAACCATATATGGAAATACTGAAGAAAAGCATAAAACGGAAGTGAGAAGAAAGGAGAGTACACGAATAACCAAAGGTATAAATATGACTGCGTCTTCGACTAAAACCAGATACCAGAGAATGGCGCTCACACTACTACTTGCCATTTGCTTCGTGGAAGCTGTATTCGGATTGGACACACAGGAGGCGCAACTCATGCTGCAAGTACACAATGAACATCGAGAATACCGAAGCAAGTGTGAGGAAACGGACATAGTGCCAACGGAGGAAGTATTACAGCCTCTTGTAAGTTTGAGATGATGTGAAAGCCTTGCGCGTCGGACTTGAATCTGAGCGCGTTTCCTGACATTGTTCACGAATACACGATAATTATTTTTCTATGGTTTTTATGCTTGTATGAGGAGTGGGACGATGAACTGGCGGCTGCCGCTCAAATGTGGTCCGAAAACTGTGATGTTCACGACAAGAAACCGACCAGAAAAGTTGGTTTATTTGACTCCGTGGGTCAAAACATCGCTGTTCAATCCGAGTTGGCAGAGTAGGTTTCCCGAGTGTAAGATTGTTACGATTGTGCTTATTGTAGAGCTGTTACTTATTGGATGAAAGAATCGGACCACTATGATCACAAATCAGACCACTGTGAACCACCGCATCAATGCGACAGTTACAAGCAGGTATGTGAATACACAAATTGTGTGACTGAACGAACTGTCAAACTTCATAATCAATCACTGAACGAAGTTTCATCACTTTATTTCTCTCAAATACATCTAGATAGTTCAAGCAGAAACGGCTTACGTCGGCTGTGGCTATACCAGATGTCCGGGCTATGAATATCCAGCAAACATGCTGATTGCCTGTTTCTACTCACCCGCGTAAGTCTTTATAATTTCCATCCGTCAATCCACATAGTGTTTCATCACATACTTAAGCATAATCCCGATTTTATGATTTGTTTTACATTGAGATTCAGTGGTTTCAAAGCATTCCGATGATGTGTTTTTATCAGTGTGCTTCAGTGTGATTCACTTCATGTTTATATTCAATTTGTTCCCTAAATCTACCAACCATTTCATACGTGGATATTCGACACTCTTCTTGCTTTAGCACAGAACCCTGTCTCGCATCCAGAAACGTCATTCTGAGTAGAATGTGTGTGCATGTGAACGACGGCTAGCCACAACATTTCTCAGTTCCTATTGTTTCTATTTCAGGGTGAGAAGTGGTCAACCGTACACTGACGGAACAAACGGAAGATGCAAAAATCCGAATAAGGTTGAGGGTTCGAGGAAGTGAAAGGAGGAAGTGGAAGAGAAGTGAAGCACCAGATCAGTTGTTTTGTTATGTTTATTGACAATGAAATCAGTGCTAATGAGTTCAAATAAATGATGCTGCATATTGTTTCATTTTGCACAGTCTTGAACATCCAAAAATGTGACTACAGTGGCATGTGATTGCAGTTGTAGACTGTGTACTTGTAGTTTATTAAGTGTTGATAGAAAACCACACGAATATAGTATTGTGGAGTTAAGCACGTCAACTAAACCTCATTATGATCTACAATGGTACTTAACATGGAGATCACAACATATCATGGTCGAATAACAATCAATTTTTTACCTGGGAAACCACCATTTCAACCATACCATAAATTCACCAACACTTACAACCGGTTCCTCGTCGTAAATATGGCACTTCTCAGACCAGTGTTGAGCGGCCGCCGCCAATTCATCGTCCCACTCCTCACACAAGCATAAAAACTATAGAAAGATAATTATCGTGTATTCGTGAACAATGTCAGGAAACGTGCTCAGATTCAAGTCCGAAGCGCACGGCTTTCACATCATCTCAAACTTACAAGCATGATGATCTTAAGGAAGAACTAAAGACACTATCACCCCTTAAACTACTATTGTCAAAGGATGTAGTTTCTGCGGAACTTGAAGACATTATAAAGGCAGAATCTGTCATCGATTTCATCTCCATCGAAGTTTTTAAGCCAATAATCCCTCGCAATAACGTGATTATCTATCGCCATTAAATCTGTAGGGCATTCGATATTAAAAGCATTTAACCTCCAAGATAGTCCATGCTAATGTATCCGACTTAGCAGAGGGCACCAGAAATACTTGTGCCCGGTTTTGTTCAGATTCGATTCTCATTTATTAGCTGAAGCGTTGAAAGAATCCGAAGGGCTAATCTGCGCGATCACGAAGTTTAGAAACTCTCGAATAGTCTCAGATAAGACCACCAACCAAAGAATTACGCAAAAGCGTACCTTAAACGAAAATAACGATGTTGTGATCATAACAAATCCCGATGATTCAGCAGCTGGACCCACTGATGCAGCTAACCTATCTCAGGTTATCCAGTACTCTGATTTACCAATGAAGAGTGCTAATTTGCCTCTTATGTCTGTAGTGACCTCTGATAACCAATGTATATCTAGTAACAACATTAATCCGATATTTTCCAGTTTAACATTAAAAGCCCATAAACAAATACCTAAGTCTAATGTAACAGCTCCTAAAAACACTGTCAAGATTAAAAAGTCTATGACACGTAAGAAGAATGTGTGTACAGAACCTTCTAGTTCTGTACTCAATAAAAAATATATTACGATGACTCTACCAAATAAAAACAAAAATATATTTCACGACACCATACTTTACCATACTCATCTTTGGGGAGGTTATAAGAACACACTTCATCCAAACGTTACACAAGACGGCCACTTCCATCAATGTTTAAGCAGACCTAATATTAGATAGGCCACAGTGAACCAACGTTCCCCACGGTTACCCTCAAACGTTTTAAATAGTCAACCTGTAAGACGTAATTTTTCCCAACAACTTCCCTTTGGACAAGATGGACTACTAGGTTACGCACCATCAACCCAACCCCAACTAGCAGGTGCTTGTCTTAACTGTCCGCCTGGTCAAGTCCAACAAATTAATCCACTTTATCAAAATAATGATTTTTCTGGCCTACAGAAATCCTTGGTCTCACTAGCGCTACAGTTTGCTCAAGCGATAGCCCATATGATCAGTCAAACATAACAAACCACAGTCTATGCAAATCTAAACTACACAACATCAATAGGGAAGCTCTTGGTTTTTTCACACTCCATACCTCCTTTTTAAACTTATTGCTTATCAATGCACGTTCACTTCTGAACAAAATTTCAGCCTTGAGGACATTATCTTTTCTAACCAAGCCTTCTTTCATACTTATCAGTGAAACATGGTGCTCTCAAGCGATATCTGATGCAGAATTAAATATCCAGAACTATCGACTCTATCGCTGTGACGGAGAAACTAAGCGAGGAGGTGGTTGTGTTATGGATGCTTCGGATACCCTAACAAATAATAAATTTGAAGATGGTGTCCTGAATAGTTTACCGGAATCAGTCTGGATATCAGTCAACACCCTGAATCATAGTCTACTCGTTGGATGTATTTACAGAGCTCCTGATAGTTCGAATAATGAGAATGATCTTATTATCAATGAGTTCACACATGTATCTGCTCTAAACTTTAATGCTAAGGTTATCACTGGGGATTTCAATTATCCTGGGATTAACTGGAATACCGGTAGTCGTCCGTCATGTAATGATGAGTTCTCGGCAACCATTACCATGCACTACTGTTCACAGTGGGTTCTTACGCCAACAAGGGGTGATAGTATACTCAACCTAGTATTTAGTAGAGATGTTATCCCACTATCTGTAAAAGTACACGATGAATTTGAAAGCAGTGACCATAAGATAGTAGTTTGCGCTCTCCCTATCTATCCCTCTTATAGTCGACCCATTCAAAAAACCTGCCAATATAGAGACTATAAACATGCTGACTGGGACCATCTACACTCCCTGATTAAACTTTCAGACTGGGATAACTTTCTTTCATGTAATAGTCTCATGGATGCTATGGACGAATTCTATCTGATCGTTAACTCTTGGCTAGATTCCTGTGTACCTCTTAAAACGTATAGGTTTAGTAAACCTTACGAGTTATATATACCAGCTAAATATCGTAATAAACTAAGACGCCTACAGAATCGTTATTTCAAGTCAAACGACTTCACGGTGGTTGCACAAATAACAATAATTTTCAATCAAATTAAGGAGAAACACAGGTTAAAAGTCATTGATGAGGAGATACTAGCACTTAATTGTGGCTCGAAAGTGCATAACCTAATTCTCTCTTTCAATAAACGCGCTAAAGCAACTCAAAATGTTGAAATACCATGCGTCCTGCATAATAGCACCTTTATATACGACTCTAAAACTATAGCAGACCTTTTCAGTGGTATTTTTGCGAATGGTGTAGGAATCGTAAGTGGCTCTGCTTCAAGAGTTATGTGCGTGACTAGCAACTCAAAAAGATCCATCTCCTTCAAATGCATGAAAATTAATAAGGCTATATATACCCTCGAGCTTTCGAAAGATCATGGAGCAGACGGGATTTTGTCCTTTCTCTACAGGTATGGTGGTCCAGAAAGTCCACCTCTTTTTCTAAAGCTGTTTGTTCTCTCTGTGGAATCAGG